CCCCCCCCAATGACACATGAAAAGACAATTTTTAAAACACTGCAATTCATTCTTAACAGCAATGCTCGGTGGGTGTAGATATAATATCTGTTTATAGAGGTAAATGTAGATAAATCATACATAAATATCCATGCATGGGGTTTACCTAGATTTTAAACATGTAATGTGATTCTCTTGGTTCAAATTTTCATCCTGTAAAAATGTATGCATCCACTAGTCCACGAAGAACCAAAGTCAAGAGCCAAAATATGCAGCTATTCATACTCACATATTCATATGTGGGTGAACCATCAGGAGAGAATACTTCTGGAACATGGCCATACAATCCGGAAGACTCACAGCAACCCAGTATTCACCTCATTGTTTTTCTCTTACTTTTCAAAAGGTTTGGCAAATGACTACAGCCACAGCTGTGACTGGCATTTTCTGGGGCTTAAAATTGTAAAGTGACCCTTTGAATGCCTACAGAAGGGATGAACTGCAATTTGCTTTCAATTTCATTGTATTATTTAGGTGAATGAACATCTTTTTGAAGCTGGCTCCTCACATGAATCAGTTAAATCTGTCCTTGGCTCTGTCAACAAACTTCTTACTTAACAGTAATGAGCACTCCGTGAAGAGAAAAAGAATGAGGCACCATAAAGATCTGCAGTTGGCAAATTCGCTACTTTGCCTCAGACTCCAGCCATGAACTGAAGGCACGGAGATCTCTAACACTACTTCCTGTCTCTATACTTGGGATACATCCTTGGATTTTGTCCTCTTGGCGTTCTGTGTGAGTAGCTCAAACAAAACTTCAAGATTTGAGTCTGGAATTGCTGTACTATTTTCTTGCATTCTGATTAGTCTTTTAGCAAGTTAGATGCAAAAGAATCAGAAAATTCCCATTTCCCTCTCTAAAAGCCACTGTGGGAAAGATCCTTTGAAACAGAAGAAGGAACTCTATCTAATCCAGCAAATGATTTGCACAGTCAGTAAATTATTTTGATAGTGTATAAATAAAACCTCAGTCCCTATAAGTTGAGAGACTATTGACTTTCCAGATGTTTGCCTTCAACTCCCATCAGGTCCACCTATCATGGCCAAAGATAAGGATTTATGGGAGTTGCCATGCAAAGCACTTGAAAATTCAATATGTTCCCATAGTTGCTCTATCTCTCGTCCAAAATCCATGTTTATTTAGACATATACCCTTGAATAGCAATAAGTTCAACTGTGAAGGAATCTGCTAACAATTTTTGAACATAAATTGACTTCTGAAAGCAATATTTCCCTTATACTTTCATGAAGAGGATTCTTAATTTTGTTCATCTAAAAGAAAAAACTATCCCTCTTTTATTTACAGCCAATTAGTTTTATTAACGAGTCACACTTTGTTATTTAAGTGCAATAAATGTCCAAAAGAAAAAATGCCACATTTGAAGAGTGATTGTAAACCATAAGCCTTTAATCTCTTATTGTTTACAGCTTCTCAGAATTCCTTATGGCTTTGCATCGTTGTGTTCTCTCCTTCCATTTCTCCTGCCACCTGGCACAAGAAGAGCCATTTTTTCATTTAGAAATACCAGGCAGAAACTACCGATGAAGTAAACAAATGAGGTCTAGTCTAAAAGGAACAATTACTGTGCAATGCAATATTTACTCTGCATTTATTTAAAATATGTATGCTGTACCTTCCATTGGGAATGGCTGAGGCAGCTTCTAGTCATAAAATTGAATACAGTGGGTCTTGGATACCCACTAGGTTTTGGTTCTAAGACACCAAAACTATGGATGCTCAAATCTAATTATTATATCATGGCTTAGTAAAATGGTGCGGTAGTGCAGCAGATTAAATCACTAAACTGCAGAACTCGCTGACCAGAAGGTCGGCGGTTCAAATCTGCAGGGTGGGGTGAGCTCCCATTGTTAGCTCCAGCTTCTGTCAACCTAGTAGTTTGAAAACATGCAAATGAAAGTTGATCAATAGGTACTGCTCTGGCGGGAAGGCAACCATGTTGGCCACATGACCTTGTAGGCATCTACAGACAACACCGGCTCTTAGAAATGGAGATGAGCACCACCACCCAGAGTTGGACACGACTAGGCTTAATGTCAGGGGGAAACCTTTACCTTTTATATAAAATACAACATTGAGATTTTTTTTAATTGGGTGGAGTGCAATTTTTTTCAAGCTGTGAATTATGGAACATGTGAGATTCCTTGAAGGTTGATAAAAGGCAAGATATGCTCCATATAGAATAGGGTTTGGGGGGGGGGTCGGGGTGGTCGGGTATAATAACTCCATTACTCCAATGACTGTACACCTGAGTGGCTTCTCTGTTACCATTTTTTGGCTGCCTCCTGCACTGGGACAGAGGTGATTTTAATCATTCAATGACTATGTTCATTGAAGTTTGGATCTAGACCCATGTGAGGACAATCTAAACTGTTGTAATGTTTAATAAAGTTGTAACCTTTGTACTCCCAAATGAGCGGTTGGGCATGTATTTGTTGTCACTTTTGCCTCCCTTTTCATCACATGAAAGGTTGAAACTGAGTCTGCAAACAGAAATTAAAAACAGCATTTCAATAGTAATACAACAATGTAGATCCCTCCACCGAATTTTGAAAAAATATTGAAATAAAAATTAAAACAAAACCTTAACAACCTTTAAAGCTCAAAGACTTAGGCCCATTCTACACTTCCCCGATATCTCAGGATCCAATCCCAGATTATCTGTTTATTCCGGATTATCTGGCAGTGGAGACTCAAATAATTCAGTTTAAATTAGATAACCTGGGATCAGATTCTGGGATTTAGGATGAGTACAGGAATAGTACCTTCTGTATAAATCAGGAGTGGGTAAAATGCCCCCACAAAGGTTGCTACATTGTAGACCAAAGTTTCTCAAATTGTGTTCCTCTAGATGTTTTCGAATTCAGCCCCCACAATTCCTAAAAGCTGGTAACTGGCTGGGATTTCTGGGAGCTGAAGTCCAAAACACCTGGAGGAGCACAGTTTGAGAAACACTGTGGTAGACCATAACATCTGGAGAATGGTAGCATAAGCTTTCATAGTTTCAAGTCTATTTCATCAGGTACAGCACTGAATGAAATCATAGTACCTCTGTGGCTGCTTATAGTATAAAAATGATCAAGAGGTTCAGCAGAACCGACAAAACATATTCCCCTTGTCTAGTTTGTGTCACAGGTCACCCACCAAGGTGACCAAATCTCTCTGTGCCCCATAACCAGGCCTAAAACCAGATTTAAAGTAATCTAAATAGTTCATCTCATCCAGAAAACAAAAACAAAAAACAAACAAAACAAAAAAACCAAAACAAACAAAAAACCAAACCACCCCTGCACTGGCTACTCCAACAGCATTTTGCCCAAAAATGTATTGATGACCCTAAGGCACAGGGTTTTTTTTGACAATTTGCCATGACAAGGGATTTGTTTCTGTCCTTTTTTTCAGGCTGAGAGAGTGTGAATTGCCTAAGATCACTTAAGGCAGTGGTCCTCAACCTGGGGTCCTCAATTTTTTTTTTGGTTTTCAACTCCCAGAAATCCTAATAGCTGGTAAACTGACTGGGATTTCTGGGAGCTGTAGGCCAAAAACACCTGGGGACCCCAGCTTGAGAACCACTGACTTAAAGGGGGGGGGGGAGGTCCTGTGACTGACTAGGGATGCCAATCTTGGTTTTCTAGAGTTCTTGTCCAGCATTCAAACCATTACACTGTACTGGCTTGCTCTCATAATAGAGTTACCATGTTTTATATTTTGAAAAGCAAAAAAGAATACTTATTAACTGACTGGCTACTTCAGGTTACTAAATACAATGATGAATTGCATTTTCACTAACCTATTAAGAATTGGAGGATGTAGGAACAAACACTGCACCTCAGTTAAGTCAGTTGAACAGGTAAAGCAGATATTTCTTGTGCCCAGAAACCATTGCAGAAATGCTAGCAGAATGCCTCCCTCCACTCCATTCTCCTCCTCCATGAAAGACTTTCCCTTTGGGATGGAGGAGGAGGATGGACCTTGATATGACAATGGTCACTGTTCCATGTCAGCTAGAAGCCAGTGAATCGCTCAGTAACTCACAGGGAGGGGGCTAGGAGTTATTGGGTTTTTTTTTGGGGGGGGGGGTGTTATCTGGTATGTTTTGCTTCTTTCATTCTGCTTTAACCTGACATGTCTTGCTTCTATCAGTCCAGATCATGTAAGAAAACCTGAACATTTTAAAAATCCACCCGGACAGGAAGGTTAACTCTGCAAAAGAAGACAAAAAGAAAGGTGCCTGAAGCTGTATCTAATAATTTCTTCCATTTCTACTTACTCAGCCAATCCCTTCCCAGGATTGTGCAGCGGTCTAAAACACATATCAGTGGGCAAATCTGGAAGATTAACCCCCCTCCCCAACACACACACACACACACACACACACTACTCCTTCAGCATCATCTGGGCAGGGTTCAGTGTTACACTACCCAAACATGTGCTGACTTTCAGCAGAAGTTGTCCTACTATTCATTGTTCTGGTATTCACAAAATTAATAGCATAAGAAGAGGGTCAGCCAGACAACTATAGAACAACGTTAAGTCCCAGATATTGCACAAACTGTGTGTTTCCTTAGGAAAACCTTTCTCCCAGTCATCATAACACACTTTACATCAAATCCAGAGGCAGTGACATTAGGAGAACATCCTCAAATCAAGAAGACATGGGTGCATACACATCCATGACTACCCCCCCCTATTGAATTAATTGGGATATCTGCATAATATGAACATCCCTCCATATCACCATATGAATATAGGCTGTAATGTTTATTTCTTTGAATTGCCAGAACTCTTAAAACTTTCCACTTTAGAAAACAGGTTAATGACCTTTGTCCCATACATCTCTCCAGGTGAAAGGGGAATCAGCTAAATATTTCAGCACAGTCATTGGTGTCCAGAGGTGTGAGAGGCATGTCTCTGGCTGTTGATTTCTGAAACTCAGCCAGAGAAATAAAAAGCAAGCAGCAACACTGCTCTCAGATAACTGACGGATCTGTGCCACCATGTCTTCCATTCTGGAAAGAATAGCAGCAGCCCCCTCACCATCACTTCTAAATCTGTTGATTGGATTCATCTTGATCTGTGGACTGTTGAAAACCCTTCAACTATACCGGAGGAAAAAGAAGCTGCTCAGAAACTTGAAAAGCTTTCCAGGCCCTCCAAGCCACTGGTTTTTTGGCAACAACAAGCAGGTGAGAAAAGTGACAAGAGAGGTTAAAAAAAGATGGTAAGGGTATAGGGCCTTGCTTGCCTTGTCTTCACAAACTAGGACAAGAAAAATGATTCTCCTTGTCAATGAAAAAGCAACATATTGTATGGTGCTCTCAACAAATTAAGCAAAATTGCACAATTACATACAGTAAAATTGATTTCTGCTTTCCTTAGACTATTAAGATCCATAAATAGAGCATGTTATTTCCTTTCTCTCTTCCTCCTCCTCCTCCTCCTCCACCACCACCATCACTTCCGCTGCCCTGGGCCTCTTGCTATCTGGGAAATGTAGAAGCACACAGGTAGGGCCATAGACAGAATTTTTTTAAGCGAATCATGAAGAGTAGTTCCATAACATAAAATAATTTAAATAGTATGGTTCATTTTATATTTTATATAGGCTTAATTAAATAATTTTGTCTCCTTCATGGAGGGCTTCAAATCCTTCCCATATCTTAGGCTTTGATTGCCAGTAATGGGTGGGCCAACTTGGTTGCTTCCACTATATCGGCTATTGCTGCAAGTAATGACAGTGTGAATAAATTGTCAAAATTTGCTTCAGGTAGTGTTTGCAGTTCTGGAGGGACTCATTTAATTTTTGCTTCTCATAGACTTATTTGGGGATTTGGTTAACCAGTTAAAATTCATGAACAAATCAGGTTTTTAACCTGAAAAATTTCAGGATGGGGGGGGGAGAAGGTGTGAACCCTTAACCCCCCCCCCACCTATGGATTAATAATGAGATTTCTTTGCAGTTCTTGAGGAATTGTTGACATGCGTATCAAAGACTGATGCTGATATAAGCAATGTTTTGGAAGAGCCAGGTGGTTAATCAGCCCAGTGAAGCTGTGCATATGTTCCAAGGTTCCCTGGCAGGACGCTGTGGACCAATGATACTCATGATGAATAGGGCTTAGAAGCATGGTCTAGGGAGGACCTTAGAGTTGAATTGGGGCTGCACAAAGAAAGATATAATTGCCAATTACCCACAGAACAACTGGCTGCAAATGTCTGGTTTGCTCAACAGATGTCCTTTAACTGTGGAGGAAAAGCTCAGCAATTAGAAAGAGGGAAACCTAGAAAAGAGTAGGATGGTCAGAAATGGACCAAAACCTGACTCCTATATATGCTTTTTATGCTGAGTCATTGTTAAGAGTGCAGAATTAAAGTGTAAAGTTGATATGCCTTATCACCAAGTTCACTGGCATTATTATCCAACTTAGTTCATTGATGGAGCAATAGATTCAAATTTCAGGAAAAGAGATTCCACCTCAATATTAGGAATAACTTCCTGTTGGTAAGAGGTGTTTGACAGAGGAATATGCTGTCTAATGCCCCTTCCACTCAGCTGAATAAAATCCCACATTTTCTGCTTTGAACTGGAATATATGGCAGTGTGGACTCAGATAACCCAGTTCAAAGCAGATATTGTGGGATTTTCTGCCTTGATATTCTGGATTATATGGCTGTGTGGAAGGGCCGTCAGAGTGGTGTAGTTTCCTTTGGAGGTTATAAAACAAAACATGGGTTCTATCTTTCATAGGAGCTCTGATTGGTGTGTTTCTGCATGGCCAGGGGTTGAATCCCTGCTATCTCTTCCACTCTATGAACACTTCTACACTGACACTATAATCCATTTTGGAATCAGTTTGGGAAGAACCAGTTTAACATTACATTTCCCATGGAACCTGGCCTCAAACTGCTGTGCAGCCACACACCCCCCCCCCGCCGGCAAGGGATGTGCACAAGGGGATGTGACTGGTAGGAGGAGAGGCAATACATTACCCCTAGCAGGGAGGGAAGTTTACAATGCACTCTGCATTTTGTGGACACACACAGGTTGATGTGACAATACACCAAATAAAATGATGTAGAATCACCCTAAGTGGTTGGCTGGAGAGCAACCCAACCACTAGATTGCTCTTAGGGCTCATGTGTTTTGCCCAAGTCCAGGCTGAGGGTAGACATGTGTTACCTGGACCTGCATCAGGTTACTCCCCGCTGTTGCTACCTTCAGGTTCAACCAACTCAAATCAAAAGTAGGACAAATAAAGAGATCCTGTTTAACCCAACTGTCTGCTTCTGTGGTTGACCATCAAAGAAAAATCACACATATTTTTGATACATAAAACTTGAAAATATTTCTCCATGTTGTTATTCACAGAAACAGATCCTAATGGCCTACATAATAATCCCAGTTTGCATGCTAGTCTATATGAACACGCAAGCCACCGTTGTACAAAACAAAATTTACATAATTAGGAAGAATTTATGGTATGCTTTCCCCATCTACTTTCTGTCATTGCAGGTCAGTCGAGGAAATGAATTCAAAAAGAGCCTGGAATGGGCAGAAAAATATCCTTATGCCTTTACTAGATGGTTTGGTGGCTTTTCAGCTGCTTTAGTGGTCTCCCATCCAGACTACGCCAAAGCTATATTTGGTCGTGGAGGTAAGCCTATTGTATCTGTCAGATTCACCTTAATAATACTTTGAGAATGCAAGCTCCAAATTATCCACTTGCAGCATGAGCAGGGAAGGAGTTAAATTCATTATTTGCATAGAGAAGACTGGCTCATCATTGATAGGATATAAGCTTATGTTTCTTTTAGATTTTTAATGTGATGCCTTCCCCACCCTAATCATTTATTTTGTGTTAGAAGTGCATTCTAGACTATCTGATACATTTTTCTCCAATGTTGACATTGGAGAAAATGTCAACATTGGTACTATATTTGTGCCCTTTGAGTACAATTGTTTCTTTCTTTGCTGAAAACTTGACTTGGGCAGGCAGCTAATTGCTTGCAGATGGCACCAGCCAAGGATCACCATTTTGAGCATTGGCATAAAATAAAAATTAAAGATTCAACTATATGCTGACCTTGCAGAAAACAGAAGACAGAGGACTCAACAGTTTCTTTCCATCAGGAAGGCTTTATCTTCAGTCACAGCAATACAGATATTATTTACAGCAAATATACACAGCTCTCTTCTAGGATCCTCCAACATCCAGTCACCACCTATCCACCATCCATCAAATCTCCATGTGGTGGCAGGTTGCTTATACACCCACAAATGATGCAATCCTGCATTCATGGTTTAGCACCCACTTGCCTAGTCAGTGTGACTCAGCACTTTATACGTATTTAGTCACTGTGACTCATCATTTTACTTTGCGCTTTACCTTCTAACATATGTGTATTTTAAAACTCCAACATAAACAAGAAGGGGAAGTGAAGCTAGCAGGAGAAATAATCAAGTAACCAATTACCCAGCCTAGGAAGTAACTGGCCTCTTGTTGCCCAGCTCTATCTTGGGAATTTTTTAGTAGCCCCCATTCCCAATTCTACCATGTGCTTCAGTGTATATAATGCAGTTCACATTCTATGGAACTAATTTCACCATGTGATGTGTTCACAAAGACCAGGAACAGAGTAGGAAAAAGGAAACTAAGGTGCAAGCTTTCCACTAAAGCACAGTGATTGCAGAACCACTTGTAGACTATGTGACAGAATTAGGTAGAGATAACTTTCATTCAATCTCCCTCATTTTCTTTCAGCATTTTTCCAAAGTTGAAATTTAAAGAGAAGCTGTATATGGAAACAAGTGCCTATATTTCTGACACACAGAAGAAATGGTGTGGGTAACAGTAATTGCTTCTGGTTACTTTGGAAGAAAGCCTGGGAAGCATCAGAACCAATCTGATTTGCATTGTGCAAATCTGTCAGATTCCCCCCAGACATATTTGACTATTGCAATGTTACAAAGATATGGTACTTATCTTTGACTCTGTTCTGATGTTTTTGTTATTTCTAGAATATTTTACATTATATTTTTCAGATCCCAAGTCTATGGTCACCTATAAGTTCTTTCTCCCCTGGATTGGTAGGTAAAACTATAAACGGCAAAAAAAAAAATGTTCTGTAAATGTTTTGCACTAGGCATATGCACTATGATCCCACTAGCTGAATTTCACCAATCCCTCAGAAGTTAAGATCTCATTTCATTCTATCTTCTGAAGTTGCCCCACATCATCCCTAAAGTAATTATGCAAACAGTATACATATGATCTGTGTTGGTAAGAAAGGGGATTTTCAGGAGTTGATCTTATATGGTGTGGAATATGAACATCAGTGATTTCTCATTTTGCTTCTAGACTGTTCATATTGTTCTGCAAATCATAAAGACATTATTGCCTCTGTTTAAGTCTTTGAACCTCTTCAGATGGAGGGAGAGTGGAACGGGCAAAGCGGAGGAAACAGTTTTAACCCATTCCCTCCCATCTTCCCCCATCTTCCCCCATCTTCAGGGATGACCATCCATCCCATGTGCTTACCGTGCCTTTGCCTGTCTTCTCTCTGCTTACCCTGTATTTTTCTATCAATACTCGATTGACACTAGCTTCTAGATAGAGGTCTTCAGGCTCCATTTCCGTGCTCTTGGGAAATGGAGCACCACAGAGTCCCACTGAAAGTGCCCCCATGTAATCCAATGGCCTCCGAGGGGACTCCCATTTCCCAAGTGCATGGAAACGGACTCTGAAGAATATGGGATGAAGTCCTTTGTCTACTTCAGGTGAAGGAAACAGCTTGAGATCTAGAACTGTAGCAGCACAAATGATGACCTCTGCAATAGTTATCATAGTTTTAACAGTCTTACGGTATTTTATATGTTTTTCAAAAAAATCTGTATTTATGTATATGATGCATTGTATTTCATTTGATTGTATATGCAGCATTGAATATTGTCATATTTTAAGCTGCTCTGAGTCCCCCTTGAGGTGAGAGAGAGCAGGATATAAATATAGTAAATAAATAAATAAGTTTGCATTTGTTCTCCACTGGACCAAGGAAGGCCCTACTTTTCCCCACCCAGCTTTTATTTATTTTTTTAAGCTGGAAAAGGGTCCCAGAGCTCTGCGGTCAGTTTACATTAGGAAGTGTTCAGAGGTTTGGAAGAAAGCTTCCTCATTCACAAATAGCTTGGAGAAGGTGGTGTATGCCTTCCCAACAGCAGCCCCTAATGTGTGTTTGGAGTGTGTGCTGGTATTTGGGAAGGTTTTGACAAAAGTAGGTTCTCCACCTTGCCCAATTTTGGTCTACCTATTTATTTTCCCATCTCCTTGTCCTTGTAGTCCCACCCCCTTTTCCCACTTTCTCTACTTTTTTATTTAGAGATCTAAAGAGTATTAAAAATGTAAACAATTCAAAATTAACATTAACAAATAACCCATACCATAAAAATAACAAAGTAAACCATGTAAACCTGCTAAAGCAGGTTTACACACCAAAATATTTCAATTTTAAAAGCACACACATACTTAGAATTAAATTAGGCCAATAAAGGTTTTAATAAAAATCCATGGCTGGAATTGGTGCTGGAAAGAAGCTAGCACTGGCACCTGTCAAGCTTCCAAGGGGAGAGCATTCAACAGGTGTGGGCACCACAGCCAAGAAGGCTCTCTTCTATGCCCCCCCCCCCCCCCCGACACTTTTCCATTTCATATTGTTCCCACTGGGGACTCAGAGGATAACTATGCAGTTTATAGTTCTCAAGTAAGTATATTTAGGAACATAAGAATCTGCCCAAGTCCAAAATCATTAACACTAACTGCTACCAGCTCTCCAAAAAGTTAACAGGACTTTTCTCAGCCTTTTAGATGCCCAGAAATGAACTTTCTCCATATAAAATACATGGTATACTCGACAACTGAGCCTACTTCATTATTTAACTAAATGCCACCTTTCTTCCAAAGAAGAAATACAAGCCATCTCACAGATAAAATTACAGGCAGTCCACGAGTTACAAATATCCACTTACAAATGACTCATAACTAAGAATGGAGGTGAGACAACAGGAAGTGAAAGAAATCTACCACTAGGAAGGGTTATTATGGGGAAAGGGGGTCTCCAATGAAGCTTTCTCGCCAATCCTTGTTTCCACAACAAGCCAATTTTTTCAAAACTCAATTATCACACAGAAAGAAAGTGAAGCGAAATCTTCTGAACAGGGGCACAAACAGCAAAACAAATACCACAGGGGTGGAAATCTTTCCTTATGCCACTCAAAGATTCTCTCTCTATCTCTCTCTCTATCTCTCTCTCTCTCTATCTCTCTCTCTATCTATCTATCTATCTATCTATCTATCTATCTATCTATCTATCTGGAGTTCCACTTTAAAAATGTACCTGTTCTGACTTACATCCTAAATCAACTTAAGAACAAATCTGCAGAACCTTATTTGCAACTTGGGGACTGCCTGTATATTAAATAACTTCCAACAGTTCTGATTTGACAGGGACAGTCCCAATTTTCAGTTCCATACATTTTTTTCATCCATGGGACAAGTTTTTCATGCCTGCGTCATAGATATTTGACTGGTCCTCCTTCTTCACTTCTGCTGGCTTCCCACTACAAGACAGTGATATCAACTCCCCCCTAGTAAATTCCCTGTGAGAGCTACATGCTTTGTAACCTTACTTTCTGGATAACCCTCGTATATTAACCACACGCTGATGTTGCTTGGTCACACATCTCCTGGTATAATATTAGAAATGGTTTTCCCTTACCGAATCCCATACTTTTTTTGCATGAGATATGGATCATTAAGCCCTAAAATGCTCTGAATAAAATTTTGCTCTTTGTTCCTATAGGAAAAGGACTTCTCATCCTACATGGTCCGAAGTGGTTTCAACACCGCCGCCTCTTAACTCCAGGATTCCATTATGATATTTTGAAACCATATATAGCCCTGATGGCAGATTCAACAAAAAGCATGCTGGTAAGTAGTCCTGCAACTGTTCTTTCTTACCCTTTAGAAAAGCAAGATATTTTGGAGTAAGTTTGAATAGATGACTGGTCTACTCTTGTAGTTCAGTACATTTGGAGAGCACTAAGTCAGGGATAATGGGTGAGAATTTAACTTGCCATTTGTATGCAGACCGACTTTATTTATTTATTTACTTTGTTTTATTTCCCAACTTCTCTTCCTTGGGGAGGGAATCAGAGCAGCTAAATGGGAAATATTTAGCAAAAAACAATGTTATCCATCGGCACAGACATTTACACAGCATTTTCTCATGATCTTATCTTTTATTACTATTATCAATTGATAAACTTCCTTGTGTGACAGAAGTGTACATATGACAAACTAGCCCTGATATTGACCTGTGATACTGAATTATCTCATCTAATTTGTACTGCTAATACACTAATCTTTATTTTCTGTTTATTTTGGCATTAGGGACTTCATTGGCAGATAGCACACAAGCTGACAGAATCTCTGAAGTTTAAAAAAGAGTATATTTTAGGGTTTATTGTGATAATTACACAAAATATTTTGGACTCAAATTATGTAAAATAATGTTAAAATGAAATTATGTTAAAATATGTTAAAAAGCAGTGGAAAAAGTTAAAACATTTGAGACATGTTCTCTCATCATCATCTATCAGGTCCAACCCTAAGCCCACCAGTACATGCAGTTGGATCATGAAAGATTTGTGCACCAAGTTTGGTCTAGATCCATCATGGATGAGATTTACATGAGTCTCCAGAAGTTACTAGGCTCTAACTTCCATCATCCTCTATCAGCTCCCTCCACTTAACCTCTCAAATATTTTAAGTTGGATAATGAAGGATATGTATGCCAAGTTTGGTCCAGATCCATTAAGCCTTTGTGGATCTGTTAATGGCCAGATGATTTTTTTCTTTTTGTTTCTTTCTATTTTTTCCCCATTAATTTGGTTTCTGGGACCAAAGCCCTTTTTATTTTAGTGAGTTAGTGTTTAATATTTTAGTTAGTGTTTGTAGTGCAGAGTTTTAATATTGTATTTTACTTTTTGTTGTACTTTTAGTTCCAGTTTTACTTTCTTCTTTTCATTCTCTTCTCTCTGCTTCCCACCCCTTGTATATTTTCTTTGTTAGGATAAATGGGAGAAGCTCATTGTCAAGAATGACATGAAGTCTCTGGAGATGTTTGAACATGTCAGCTTGATGACTCTAGACAGCATCATGAAATGTGCCTTCAGTTCCCAGAGCAGCAGTCAGACTTCCAGGTTCATGAGCATTTTTTTTCTTGTAGCAATGTCCATTCTTATATAATTAATCCTGAAAATGCTGTGTACTTTGTCTTTTAGAGAACTGAATAATTACATCAAAGCTATTTATGACCTGACCTATCTGGTGTCTCAGAGAGTACGTAATGTCTTGTACCGAAGTGATCTCATTTATCCATTCACTTCAGCTGGTCGGCACTTCCAAAAAGCTTGCAAACTGGCTCACAAACATACAGGTAATTTCAACTCACACTTGCCTTATTACTTATTTACAGGAGAAGTAAAAATATGAGCCTTTACTTATTTCACTCTCCCATGCAAGAAGAAAGGATTATGAAAGATTTCCCCCCACTTGGTATAATTTGAGAAGTTTTCTGCATTTTGTTATGTTTTCACGTTTTAGTAACTTGTAGCAAATTTTTTGCACAGAAAATATGGTATTTATTCCAAAGACACTAAAAAAAGTTGCCGAGTTTGAAAAGTATCTGAGTTTTTTCTCCCCTTCCCCTTCCTTCCCTTCCCTTCTCTTCCCTCCCCTCCTCTTCCCTTCCTCCCCCTTCCTCCTACTCTCCCTCCTCTTCTTTTTCTTTCTCTTTCTCTTTCTCCTGGATGAAATGTCTCAATATGTCAAAATCCCTTTCTCATTATGGTAATTTGCTAATATTCTTTATATCTCTGGTTAGGAGTATTTTCCCCCAAATTTGTGAAGAAATTCACCGAAGAGTTGCCATGTTGGTTTGTACTGAAAAAATATATCTTTCTCAAAGCTGTTATAAGATTCCTTCATATCTTTTTTTAGGCTGAAAGAATAGTGCAATTGTATGGATAGTAAAATAGAAATTAATCCTTCCATTCTTGGAACACACTGAGTTCCACCAGACTTTCCTCTCTAGAGGAGCAGGGCAGGAGGTTTCCTTCTCCCAAATCTTCCTTTCCCCTCTGCAATCCCTTATTGTTGCCTTTTATTCTGTTCTGGAGATTCCCCCAGCTCTCTCAAGCAATTTTCAGAAAATACAAGGGATTTCAAGGGGAAGTACCAAATAAATTAATGTAAAAGTTGACTTCATGCATATGTTGAGGGCAGATTTGGTTTTTTGTTATAATCCATGGATATGTTGAGGGCCATATGTGGAAAGGCGAAAGCCCCAACAGACTTCAGAGGACAAATTGCCCCTGGTCACTACTGCCACAATTTTCACATCCAAAAAGCCAGAAGTGCACCATGAGAGTAAAGGGGATTGGTTCTTCTTTTAGATTCTCCCAGGATGAAGTTAGTCTTTGCATTTTGCCATTCTTCTTGGGTGCTTCCTTTTTTTATAAAACCTGTGAATAAGGTGACCCAGATTTTTGGGTCTAATTTTTAGACTTATTCATGAGTATCAGGGAAAATCTTCTCTGTACATCTTCTCTTTTCAGCTGTCCGTGTAGTTGTTACTTTTTAATTTTTCTGTTGACTCAGTGAGTATTTGTTCTGGGAAAGGAAGGGGGTGGCAGGAATAGATACTGTTCCTTTGCCTTGTTCTTCTCCCTAATGAGTTCCTCATTAAATGAAGTTGGTGAATAATATGAACAAGACCAGAGAGTGTCCAGGATTGGTAGCCTCCCGCTTTCGAGGTACAAATCTCAGCAGATGCCCAAAGAAGCCAACTATTGACACAGCCCTAGCCCTCTGACATACCTAAGGACCGATATTGTTGCTGAAGTGGCTACAGTTAAACAAAACAAAATCAATGAAACAGTGATGTGTCTTCAGTTCTTACTCAGCCTTTAGAACAGATCTAGCTCTCTTCAAAAATTCATTGGATTTTCATTTAATCATCAAAACACTATAGTTATACATTTGGAATCCCAATTTCTTAACATTTGTCACAGAAAAAGTCATAGAAGAAAGAAAAATATCATCCAAGGAGGAAGGAGAGCTCAAAAAAATCCAGAAGAAGCGACATTTAGATTTTTTGGATATTCTTCTTTCAGCCAAGGTATGTTAGCCATAAAAGAACAGACACCATTCACTGTGTGCTAGCTAATGAAAGGTTAACAACAATGACATCAATCTAACATCATCTTAATTCTTGCAATGTATGCATTGGCTTGATAAAAATAAAGGTTTTGCCAATTTCTGCCTAGATTTTGGAGATTTTAATTGCCTGATATTGTTTCTGCAGCAGAATTAGGTGTGGAAAAGATATTGAAAAATATTTCTTTTAATGGTTGAAAAACACATTTTTCAAAAGTTGAAAATCCTGGACTCGATGAGAATCATCACAGTTTGGGATTTATTGTACACAAAGTTCACACATGGTTGTTTTGTGCAGAGACTGTAACTACATTTCTAGCAGTCTACTAGTTAAAGTTTGTTGTTATATAGCTTCAGGTTATTTCCAATTTTTGGCAATCCTAAGGTCAACCTCTGAGGTAGTTTTCTTTGCAAAATTTGTTCAGAGAGGGCTTGCCATTCTCTTCTCCTGAGAGTGAAAGTGTGACATGCCCAAGCTCACTAAGGGTGGTTCTACATTGAGTATAATACATGCTAGAAACAGTGTGCAAAACAACCCAGCTGTGCTGAAACTGGTTTAGTGCCACTGGGCAGGGGCCCAAATGCCAGCCCCTATCTGCCTATGTCTCTGTCACTGTCAGCTACACCATGGAGCAAATTTGGCTTAGTGCGGAGCAAAATTGCGTTAAGGGCAAAAATAAATAAATACATAAAGATACTTTCTGAATTCCCTGTGAATCATAAAGACTACCAGTGCTGGATTCAGGTTTTTAGTCAGTGTAGTCAAGCCCTAAGACAGTGTTGATTCATGACTTTTCTGTGCCTGAAACGACTGACAAGATGGTACCTCTCCACACTTCATGATAGAAGCCAAGCCAACTGGAAAATCCAAGCCAATGATTTCTTCCATTTCATTTATCTGCAACTTGAACTTTGGTTTGCCTTGACTAATAAATGACCAATGTTCTAAAGTAAACACAACTTGAAAAAGATAGTTCCCCTGTAACAATGGGAACCAATTTACCTTCAACCAACTTGAACTCTTTTCAGTAGCTAATATCCTTGTATCCTAAGGATGAAAATGGAGTCGGGTTATCTAAAGAAGATTTGCGTGCTGAGGTGGACACATTCATGTTTGAAGGGCATGATACCACGGCAAGTGGGATTACCTGGATGTTATATGCAATGGCTCACAACCCAGAACACCAACACCGATGCAGGGAGGAGATAAAGGAAATTATGGGGGACCATGACACAGTTCAGTGGTGAGAGTGTTAACTTAATGTGTCTGAATCAGTTTGCTTTTTTAAAAAGTAGACAACTTGAAGGTTAAGCATATTAATTCCAAGGTCTAGAATCAGGTTGCTTCAGTAGGTCCATCACAAAAGCCACATTGTCATTCCTTTCCCGCCTCTTATTTTCTCTGTCCAAATGCTAGCAATAATGGGCTATAGATTACAGATTGCCAATTGCTAATTATAGATTTGCTAGTAAATCGCACCTTAAAGTTTGCTAGTTGGAAAAATGAGTCATATGCATCATTATTATCACCAACACCATCATCAGTCCCTTGCCTTTCCCCCAAAATTGGAAGTCAAGGGCATTGCACATTGTAGGCGGCACTACACTGATTTGAATGACTGACCTCAAAATCCAAAGGGATCTATAAGAGAGAAGATGGCCTGTTACATAATCAGGTCCCAGAATTTTTTGTCACACGGTTTTATCATCAATAAAACTTGAAATGATAGTAGACTATATGCTAGGAAGCTGCTAATACTTTCTGTCAACACATTTGTGAAAGGATCTGTTTAAACACAGTTTCATTTGATCTCTTCAGGGATGACCTTGGAAAGATGCCTTACACCACCATGTGTATAAAAGAGTGCCTCCGCCTTTACCCCCCAGTCCCTGCAGTGGCTCGACAACTTAGCAAACCCATAACCTTTTGTGATGGACGCAGTTTGCCTGAAGGTTAGTTCATTCTGATACTCTCTGTGGACATCTTCTGGATCTATCCTTGATATAGAGTGGGAAAAATCATTTAGCTAGCATTGTTCTCTTTCATAAATAGTATAATATTGTGCTCTTTTGCAAAAATTAGATAGTGATTTATTTATTCATTTATAATTAGTTAGTTAGTACTCTGCTTCTCTCCTGGAAAGGGTGTCAAATTGCCTTTAAAACATAATTAAGATAACAATGTATTGTATAAAATTGGATTGCTCTACAGAAGCGGTTCTCAAACTGTGNCTTCTCCTCCTCCTTCCCCTCCAAGGGGCAGTTTCAGGGCCCTTTCCGGAGCGAGTGGGTCCTTTCCCACCAAGAAGTAGTGCTTGGATCCTGCTGCCACTGCCACCATCAAGCCTGGAACATGCTGAGGCTGGCAAACCCAGCTGCAAAAGGATCAACACAAAATGACCCACAATGCTACTGGGGCATCTTAGGGCATCTTAGGG